AAGATATGCGATGTTATGTTGCTGATCACATACCAGTAAACAAATATCTTAATTGGCTCCATATTAAAAGACTACCAGTTTTAAAGAGTAAGATAAATTGTATCCGTTCAATGCATTTTTTTGGTTTGAAAAGGAAACGCTTAGATATTAGAGAGTCAATACGTCAAGTATATTTCACAGTTTTAAGAAGAACTAAGGACTATATGAGTATAAAACAGATAAAATGAATTACTTAGACAGACATATTCTTTTTAAAATTATTTTAATTTTTGAAGAAAAGATATTCTTTACTAAAGTGTATTAGCCAAATGAATAAATGAAAGACGCACACAAACATTATTTTTGTGATTAAATGAATGCTGAGGAATAATTTATCAAGTTTTCTAGTACCCTAAAAGTAACCTAACTCTACTGATAATAAGTACTCCGACCTAAACTAAGTAAAGCTTAAGAGGAAACAGAAGAAGTAATACATTTAGATGTAGATTATATTGAAATATGCATATTCACTTATGGGTAACTGATTGTTTTACTTTTCAAAAAGTTGTTCATATAAACAAAAAGAAAACCAAACGCTACTGACTGTAACTGAAATTCAAAAATGATTTATACTTCATTTATCATTTAAAAGGTGTACGCTATCAAAGAGAGGAAAAAAAGCAATTGAATGATACATAAAAAATAATGCCATAAATATATAAATAAGAAAGCTACAATTTTTCTTCTAAAAAAATGGACTAACATTCACTTACTTGGTTGTTAGTCACAAGTTTTTACACATAATCAGCACAGATTAATGTGATGTTCTTATGTTGCATGGTTTGATTGATTTCATTTTAATGTAAAAGTTGTATGACTCAATATTGTTGACAAATTAGTTGGTAGGATGTGAGTAGGATTCTTTAGAAAAACATATTACTTGATTATATACGCCCACATAATTTACTGTTCAATTAAGCATAAAATCTGAACTTCATAAAATGTCTTGCGAACTCATCTATATATCTATCTGTTTATCTTAGAACTACTTTTAATTCTTCATAACTCTACTGCATGGGTCAACAGTTAGGCAGATGATAAAGGTTGTTATATGTTCGGAAGTGATGCGCTTACAAGCGACTGTTTGGAGAATCAGATAAAAGCGAGTCAAAGTCTATCTATAGGTTGATGTACTTGAGAGCAAGTAAAAACACGAAATCATAGAGGAAATAGATACCTCAAGTGGACTTCCTTGCTCTCAATAAGATCACTCCATTGAATGGTTTAATTGTGAGAGTTTTACGACTAGTTTAAATGACATTAGTAATGTCTACCTGAAAAAGATACGGTTTTAAGAATCACTGCACAAATGAAGCCATTTGAGATGACTGATTGTTTTTTTAAAATGCTGACTGACATCTAAATGTGCTTCCTCACTCGTAAAGCATTTGAAGGTAAAAACCTGGAGAGACTAGTACTTCAAAAATAAGTACTGATACAGTCATTTAGCCTCATGGCGAAACGTCTGTGATCAAATATCAAGGTAGAAAGAATACAACTGTAATTGAGTCCTATACTCTAGTCGATGTCTTTATTGATTGAGAAAACATGCATTCTTTCCATAGTCTTAATACTTTTAGAAATCCTAATTTGTCTAATACTAACAGTTTAACCTTTCAGAAATGGACACCATGTGATTATATCCCTATTGTTAGCCTAAAAGCAGCCCTTATACAAATAAGATGAAATTCCATCTTCAGACAATTAGTTGATGACCTGTAACTAGTATCTTAAACTTACACTCGACAACGCCTGGTTTACTGCTTCAGTTTATATCACTAGTCTATCATAAAAGTGGATACAAATCTAGTTTTGCTCGGTTCTTATCTATTACAAAGAAACTGTGTGAAACTCATTATGATGAAAATATTGGCAAAATGCCTAATTGTATAATTCAAAAAGAAACTACGTAAACCGTAAATATCGCTTAGCTCGATCGTAGTGAAATAGTCGCTAAAATTGGAGAAAATGAAACGACTTCACGTGTTGACGATTGTTTCCATTGTATTATTACTCACATGTGGCTGAACCATCAAGTTATTAACCTATAAGTTAGACGCAGAGATTCTGAAAAGAGAAATACGTCAAGTAATGAAGCTGTATATAATAACAGATTCAACTGGGTTGGTCAACTGTCGTGCATACCAAGTCACTATCTGCCCTGCTGCATGAATTTTACTTGACGTAAGTCAAAGGTAGAAAAAGGATAAGGTTAGTCAGAATAAAAGTTTGCATGAAGTCTCTGGATCTGGGTTCAAAAAGATAAATGTTGACTTTCCAGTTGGGGTTCGCATGGCAACAGAAATCAGGGTTAAAAGATTCTAGGCGGCATACCTGACAGTCAACCGTAGTAGCGTAGATGCATCCACACATTATTTTCACCCTAATCTTTAAATCGCATTGTGTATTCCTTTATTTGTTTCAAGCCCCTCTTCGTCACTTTTACAAATACACGACTAAGATTATTTTTTTAACTTCTCTATCTATCGTTTTCCTGCTTTGTATCTTGATGTGCTGACCTGAGTTGTGGACACCTTGACCTTTACGCAGTGAGCCTACGTACCATCGTGCAAAGCCATCGACAGATATTTGTGCTCACATATAACTAAGTTGACGCTACAGTTCACGGCCTCTCACTAGAACTTCGGGAAGACCATCTTGAAGCAGATCACTAGTGTGCAGTGGAAGTAAATTATTTGGAGATTTTTAAGGATCGTTCAGTTTCAAGGAAGTAAAACTAATTAAAATATAGTACCAGCAATATACCATATAAAAATAAATCATGGCGTTACTTGAAGTGATTAATGTTGAACAAGCAGCTGGACTACACTTAATAGTTTCAAAGGTTAACAAAATAGTCATAGTGGTTTGTCGTAAGTTTGTTTTTCAGCAGTTTTACGCAACAACATAAAACATATCATTCAGATTCATTGATTGGTTGTAAAGAAAGATTTCTCACTGAAGAATGACAATACCTATTCAAACATGGGAAAAAAGGAAGCAGAATATTTCTGTTTCGTTCTGGCTTTAGGTCAGTCAACAATGTTTTCCCTAAGAGTTGGTATAGGATGAAATGCTAAAAGAAGAAAGTCACCACTTGATGGACACACTGTAAAATGATTGACAGAATTCGATCAGCACTGAGGATTAGACAATATAAAATTGGTTACTCCCCAGTGACTGGTCAATGTACCCTACCCGGTCCTATAGAAGGTCAATCGTAGCTTTTAAGCTCAGATGTAATGTCGTTGACTGCAACACTGGATGACGCGGGCTCGAACTCCAAAGGAGACGCCAGCTCCCTCAAGGTTGCTGACGAGTGTCAGTAAGGAAAAAAATCTAAACCCAGGGCTTCCTGTCTATTGTCCTCATTGGAATAGAATTATCACTTCATAAGAAACTTAGCAGAGGAATCCAGGACACGCGTTTTGACCAATTTGGAACTCATCAGCAGGATGTAACTGCATCCTAATGGGTAATTTTGCTCCCACTGGGAACTGAACCTCGTATCCATCGACGCAAATATTATAGCGTTATCTATTCAGCTACTGAGGCACGATATCCACCTCTAGTCCAAAGGGCACTAGATATTACTGTTTGTTGATGCGTTTATAATTCTCCGTTGTTACGCCCGATCGAATTGATCACCCTCTGTATAACCTCATAAATAGTTCACAATCCTTCTTCCTAGTTGCTTTCGTTCACTTGTTAATGAGGCCCTTAATGATGACTATCAATACCAATTAGAAAGAGATACCAACACATGTCAACAAAATTTCATCTACAAAACTTACTACTTGCTAAATTTTATCTTGTTACACTAATATTCAGCATATGTTTCAATACTTAACGCGATTCATCAATCTTCAACTCCATAAAAAGACAAAGAAAGAAGAAATGGACATTACTGATCAATTAGAAATTATTTGATTGGGTGTATAAAAGTTCACTTCTCATTCCTTAAATGTACCTGATCTTTTACCTTTATCGTATGAAAAATATGCATGTGTACGAGAGAAACAGATGATCAATTAATAAAATAAATAAGCGAAAATCAGTAATATCGTCAATGCTTAGAAAATAACAAAATTCATAATCTAAATGTCCTGCCAATTCGAAATCATAAAACATAAACACAAGTTACTTTGTAATCAACGTGCATCAAGTTAGAATGAAAAACACACAAACATAGAAATACAGATATTATATATATATATATATATATATATATATATATATATATATATATATATATATATATTCAGTCAGTTGCCGAACCAAACATTCTACATGATTTATAAGAAAAATAATGTGAACATATTTGTATAAAATAAGCTAACTGGTTCACACCAAATAATACTGAAGACAATAATTTAAGATATAGACAAAAGCATATTGAACTTCTGTATTAATAGTTTCCCCGATACTGATCAGAAATACACCCTATAGTAATAAAGCTTGATGATAACAACAACTGGTAGTTATTTCATAGAAGGAAGTGTTACAACTCAATAATCCAATGGATTACATATTTAGTATCAGTTCTAATGCAAAAAGTTGTACACTGAGGCACAAGTAAAACAAATTAGTGAATCCCACCAAATTCATGATTTCAATTAAAAGCATCAACAAATGTTGATATTTATTTTGATGCATTCCACCTTGATGGGTTGATATGAAGTGTGATACATTCAGCGGTTATGCGGTAACACTAAGTCCTATAATGATGCTAACTGGCTAAGAACAAACAATTTTCACACGGAAGTATCTGAAGGTTGGTCAGATATATAACAGAAATATAAGGTTGAAAATATTTTGAAAACTCTGCAGTTGATCAGTGAATTAATTGCTTTTACAAAAAATCATTACTTTCTCTTTCAGCTAGAAAAAGCAATAACTCAAAAAGCTATAGAAAAAATTAGTCAAAGTCAATTATTAACGACATATACAATAGATCTTACCCTGCCTATCAGCTAATGATCCCGCCAATATTCTTTGAATAGATATAACAGGCTGTGAAACTGATTGTATTGTAACTCCATTGAAAGTTGTCGGAGAAGATGGAGATGGTGACGGAGTACGCAGTGCCACAGTAATACCTAGATCCTCACCAGGATGATCACGTCTTAAATGAACCTTTCTGGGTACACCTGGCTGTGGAAGTTTATGATGAGTACTTTCACGATGACTACGACCAGAAGTATGTCGTGGTTCTCTCAAAGGCTGACCATGATTTCTAGGTAAACTTTGTGTTCCTATAGATGGATCTCGAAAAGGCTTATGGCGGTGTTGATTTAGATCAGGTGATCGAAGAGTACTATCCGAACCATGAAAATGTTTTTTCTTCCTACCTTTTGTTGTAGGTGTTTTGCTCGGAGATGAGATAGGACTGTTCAACTTGGAGTTCGAATCGGTCTCAGTAGGCATATTATTATTCAAATATTTTGGCTTGCGTGATTTAGAAGATGATCTTTCTGATTGTTGCTTTGCAGATTCAGGAGTATTTGTTGGGGAGACAGGCTTCTACAAAAATAAGAATAACACAAAAAGTACGCAACGATAGAATAGATCACGGTCGTCTTTTCAGAAATACAATCAAAATTCAACCACAATTTAACAGTAGAATCCTATTTTGTAATTTACAATATGCCTAACAAGAGCATGCAGGAAAACAGTATAATCTACTGAACAACTATAAGTATAAAAGTGATACTGGAGAGATAGCTAAAGAAATTATCACACTAACATTAAATCAGGAAATTAAATACACACTGAGTATAACTTATAGATCAAGAAATTAAAATACGAAGCAGAAGATAGATACAGTTCAAATTTCTTGGAAAAGCACGAACTTCCCAAGTTAACTACACGAAAAAGATTGACAATATACAAACTTTAATTCTGTTATACATATATGATTAAATGTAGCCTACAGTTTTTCGTTTTAAATATGCCACCAACCATTATCAACCATCTCAAGTTATCAAGTTATCGAAATGACAGTTTTGATGGGTGGTTCATTCCACTTAAATATGGAGATTAACTATACACATAAATCCAGCAGTACATTTTTATAATGTAATCGAAAATAAACCCGACCAAAATAACTAGAATATGTTACGGATTATCAGTAATTTAGCAATCACGATGGCGAGAAACAAATACATAAGAGTATCTTTACGCATGTAAAAACAGATATTTAAGCTGGATGAAAATTATCGTTACAATTTGCAGCAGAGTTAGATCAGCAAAAATATTCTAGTTATGTAACTATTAAATACATCTAAAAATAAATGATGTTGTCAATTATTCTTCAATCCTGTTAACACAAGGAAAAGACTCTAGAACCAGAAAACAGATATCTGAAATCATTTAATTATCCTTCGTATTTAACAGCCAAACCGATTTATCAGTAAGGATATTGTAACAAAACAAGTAGAACACATAACTTGTCTGAATCGTGTAATGCATAAGTGCAACACATTTAGAGTGATCTTACCACACACACACACACACACACACACACACACACACACTATTTCTCTTCCTTATTTATATGAAAGATAATAAAAAAGAATTGGGGGATGAGAAGAAAGTGAAAAAAGGTTCAAGTGAAAATAATAGTGCATCGACTTCGGTTTTACAGCCGACTTTAATGTGATAGTAAACTGTTTTTAAGTACATAAAAGTGGCTTAAACTTACTAATGGTGAAGGCTTCGATAACTGTGATGATACTTTTCCTACAGGTTTTGTAAATGAACTTGACGGATGTACAAGTATTTATTTCATAACCTATCTCAGTAATCTGTGTAGCCGCTAAAGAGCTTGGACACCTGTTATCGTCATCGATAGTATATGGCGATTCAATCTATTTTTTAGGACACTTGTGGATATATCCCACTATATGTATGTGTGGTAAATACTATGGGATATGATCTCGTCTACACCATGACTAAGACTAACATATATTCTACGTGATTTTAATCTGCCTGATCTTGGTTGCATAGTCTTTCTAATAACAGCGATAAGTATGTCTCAGCTACGAGACACGACGGTCATTCGTGTATGAAATCTTGAGAAATAATTTTTTGGGATAGAGTGAACTCTAGGTCTGCATTTTCTGATGGCTTTTTACCGGTGAATAAGCCTTCATAGATAGTTACTTTCATCTGCATGCATAGATAATGATTGTACTTATTTTTAAATGCAAACTGAATTTCCAGATGCCATCGGCAGATATCCGAGCCCCTCAAAGGCCATGCAGATTACTGAGATAGGTTATGAAATAAATACTTGTACATCCGTCAAGTTCATTTACAAAACCTGTAGGAAAAGTATCATCACAGTTGTCGAAGCCTTGACCATTAGTAAGTTTAAGTCACTTTTATGTACTTAAAAACAGTTTACTATCACATTAAAGTCGGCTGTAAAACCGAAGTCGATGCACTATTATTTTCACTTTATTGATTTCCATTGGCATTCTAACTTTCGGTTTAGCCTTCTCACTTGACCCCTTTTTCACTTTCTTCTCATCCCCCAATTCTTTTTTATTATCTTTCATATAAATAAGGGAGAGAAATATGTGTGTGGTAAGATCACAGTAAAAGTGTTGCACGATTCAGGTAAATTATATCTTTTAATTGCTTTTATCGAAATTTATAAATGAAAACTAAATGCTTACGACAAAATGATTGAATTCATCATATTTTTCGTGAATACAAAAGCATTTTATGAAGAAGATTGACAACAATGGTGGATGAAGATGTCCGAATAGATTACTGATAAAGGTTTACAACGATAATTTGACTTTTATTGAACGAATGAATGCATTCTGAATGAAAGTGAAAGTTGTGTAAAATATCACAATTAGGCTTTAAAATAAGTGAACGTGACATCTGAACAGGAAATTTAGTGATAGCTGGTAGGTAGAAAAAGCATACAGAGAAGTAGTAGGGTTCACCCTGTGTATATAAACCGTTCAATCACTGGCGAGATGTCATTAGCTATTCACTTTAACTTAGGAGTGATAGAACAAAGACTATTTGCAATAGAATTACTGAACATTTCCAGTATTGGCCAGTTCTCATGAAATTTTATAAAATATCCTTGTTGTTCTCTTAGATAAGCAAGCCGTTACACAATCATGTATTCTGTAGAAGCCTTGGTAGTACAATGGATTACAAAACGATAACAGCTTACGAATGTCATAAATCAAAACTTATGGTAAGGAATCCCTAATAGTTGTCACAGTCTAACTGAGTCTACCAAGAACCTAATAGGTGTTGTAGTTCCCAGTGACACTGAAAAGTGTTCGTAATTCAGTATGTTAAAACAGAATATTACAAATTATGAAGTAGTGAACATCACGGTCAAGCTTCTGTCGGAATGTTAACATTCGATGATAATTTACAAGGCAGAGGAAAACGAAGGATTTGATTACAAGCAATCGGCACAATACTGTTATAATGACTTCGCAATTAGTTTCACTCAACTAATTGTTTTCGTATTTGTATTTCCCAACGAATACAAAATAAAATAAACTTTTTTTAACTAACTTTTCGCTATCTAGTGTTAATATCTTTAAGTTTGATAAAGCTGTTAGCATTAAACGGCAAAACGTCTGTTAAAACATTCATTTTGTTTTACATTCACTGGGAAGTATGAATATTAAAATATGGAATATGGAATAACCTCGCCTGGTTAACTAGTTTACTAGTTACTAGCCGGTCCTAAGCCCGGGTAAAGAGGGAAGGTTGGGCATAGGGCTAGCAACCCTACCCAGTAAAACAAATCTAACCGCTAAAGAAACTTCAAAGCACAAACAAAATATAAAAAATGAAAACAAACTTATTCCCCGCTGGAATCGGAGAGGCGAAATGACGCCAGTTGGTGAAAGCCTTCGCGAAGCCAATTGGCCGATGTGTCTTCTCTCGATGAAAGCGAAAGTAAACGTGGGGACATGGAATGTCCGCACGATGTTTGAACCCAGCAAGGCAGCCCAGATTGCAAAGGAGATGAGAAGGTATCACATCGAAGTGCTTGGGATTTGCGAAAGCAGATGGAATGGGAGTGGACTCTCCAAACTGTCAACTGGAGAATCAATAATCTACTCCGGTCACCCAGACGCCAACCACGAGCACACTGAGGGAGTGGCTATCATGATGTCCTCAAGAGCATCGAAGGCTCTCATGCAGTGGGAACCAATCTCCTCCAGGATCATGACAGCAAGATTCAACTCAAAAGGAAGAAAGGTCACAATCATACAATGTTATGCACCTACAAATAATGCAGAGCAAGAGAAAAAGGAGGAATTCTACAGACAACTTCAATCAACACTGGACAAGACGTCAGTTGGCGATATCAAAATTCTGATGGGCGACATGAATGCCAAACTGGGAGGGGACAACACGGGAAGAGAACTAACCATGGGTCGAGAGGCGCTAGGTGAAATGAATGAGAATGGAGAATTGTTTGCAGAATTCTGTGCATTCAACGATTTGGTGATTGGAGGCAGTGTGTTCAGGCACAAGGATATCCACAAAGCGACATGGATTTCACCAGATGGACACACTAAAAATCAAATCGACTTTATCTCAATCTCAAGAAAATGGAGACGCAGTCTACTTAACACAAGGTCAAGAAGAGGAGCAGATGTAGGTTCAGACCACTCACTATCTAGTGCAAGGAACCTTCCAAATCAAGTTAAAAGCCTTCAAGGAAGCTGGTGATAGACCTCAATTCAAGTACAACACTCGGAAACTGAAGGATGAAACTACAAAGGAGATCTTCAAGGCAGCCATCAAGACAAAATGGGAGACGTCGAGGGACATCCCTGAAGAAACCTGTGTGGAAGAACACTGGAAGTCTTTGAAAGCTATGTGGAAAGAAACCTGCACAACAGTATTAGGAAGGAAGAAGAAAGAAGACAAGGAATGGATCTCGACGGATACCTGGAAGCTGATAGAGGAGAGGAGGATGGTGAAGCAGAAGATAAACCAGTGCAAGGATGCTCAACGACAAGAGGAACTGAGCACAATGTATAAAACACTGGATAAAGAAGTGAAGAAGAGTGCACGCAAAGACAAAAGACACTTCTACGAACACTGGCAAGTGAAGCAGAACAGGCTGCAGGTAAGAGAGACCTGACGACATTGTATCAAATAACCAGGTTGCTATCAGGGAAGAGACCAACACAGATGAAACCAATAAAAGATGAAGAAGGAAATTTAATTACAAAAGAAGAGAAACAGAGGAAACGATGGGCCGACCACTTCAAGAAGCTCTTGAATCGACCACCACCTGCACTTCGTCCAGAAATACCACCTGCAGCCGCTGAATTACAAGTGAACATAAATCCCCCAACGAAAATGGAAGTCCTGAACGCCATAAAGCTACTGAAATGCGGGAAAGCAGCAGGACCAGATGGAATACCGCCAGAAGCACTGAGAACAGATGCAGAGACAACAGCGGACATGCTCACACCACTATTGCAGAAGGTGTGGAAGGAAGAGAAGGTACCTGACGATTGGAAGAAGGGTTACCTTGTCAAACTGCCGAGGAAGGGAGACCTCAGTGCTTGCAAGAACTGGCGCGGAATCACTCTCCTGTCCACCCCAAGTAAAATATTAAGCCGCATCATCCTGGAGAGGCTTAAAGACGCACTGGATTCAAAACTGCGACCGGAACAGGCAGGCTTCAGGAAGTACAAATCATGTGCAGACCAAATTGCAACGCTTCGTATCATCATAGAACAGAGCATAGAATGGCAATCAGCTCTCTACCTCAACTTCATCGACTTTGAGAAGGCCTTTGACAGCGTCGACCGACAAGTAATTTGGAAACTGCTTCAACACTACGGAGTACCGCAAACCTTTATCCGCCTCATTCAGCAACTATGTGAAGATGCCACATGACAAGTAATCCACAATGGGAAGCTCAGTGATGCTTTTGAAGTGAAGACAGGAGTGAAACAAGGTTGCCTACTATCCCCCATGATATTCCTTATTGTGGTGGACTAGATCATGCAGCAAACAGTAGGCAGCGAGAAGAGGGGGATACACTGGACGACGGAAAAGAACCTAGAAGACTTGGATTTCGCCGATGACTTATGCCTAATGTCACATAAACTTGAAGATCTGCAGGCAAAAACTAACAAGTTGATAGAAGAGGCAGCGAAGACGGGACTTCAGGTGAATATAGAGAAGACAGAAGTGATGAAGATACCGCACCACCACCATCAACAACAACAACAAACTCCAGTCACCATCACCATCAACGGGAGAATCTTAAAGGAAGTAACCTCCTTCACTTATCTAGGAAGCACTGTTTCAACTACAGGCGGGACGAACGAGGACGTCAAAGTCAGAATCGGAAAAGCAAGACAGGTGTTCATTAGCCTGAAACCAGTGTGGAGATCTTCTGCACTCAGCATGCGGAACAAGACCCGGATTTTCAACACCAACGTCAAGTCAGTGCTCTTGTATGGCTCAGAGACTTGGCGCGTCACGAAAGGCATTTCCAATAAACTACAGACATTCATCAACAACTGCTTACGCTCGCTGCTGAAGATCAGATGGCCAGAAAGAATAAGCAACAAGGAACTCTGGGAACGAACCAACCAAGAACCTATCACGCAACAAATATGCAGGAAGAAGTGGAGATGGATTGGCCATGCACTGAGAAGGCCGACTGAGGACATCACGCGTCAGGCCAGCCTCGAGTGGAATCCCCATGGGAAGCGACGAGTTGGACGTCCGAGGGTGACATGGAGGAGGTCGTGCGAGGAGGAAATGAGAGCTTCTGGGCTGTCGTGGGACCAGGTTCAAAAGATCTCAGAGAACAGAGGTCACTGGAGGCGTGCTACTGAAGCCCTATGTTCCACTAGGAACCCAAGGGACTAATAATAATAATAATAATTTATCGAATGCCTACTTTTTTTCAAACCAATAAATCCCAACTTGGTTTGGATAACTTCACTCAAGTTTACTACTTTCTGAATTCATTTAAATTTTCTCACACTGAGAAGGCCAATCGGAGACATCAGGCGTCAGGCCAGGCCAAACCCTTGAGTGGAACCCAAAGGAGAAACGACGAGTTGGGCCTCCCAGCTGAGGGTGAGGAAGAAATGAAAGCTTGTGGGCAGTCGTGGAGCGAGGTTCAAAAGACTGCAGAGAACAGAGTGCGATGGAGGTGTGCTACTGAAGCCCTATGTTCCACTAGGAACCCAAGGAAAAAATAATAATGATTTAAATTTTCTGAGAATTTGGTGTGCGTTTCATAAAAATTCAGAAGAGTTTAATTAGGCTTAACTAATTACATACGATCTTTGAGTCCTCATTCACCTTGTTTATCTATTATACTTCCTCTCGTACACTTGCCTGCATTAGAATAACTATCCTTATAGTAATCTTTTCTTTGTGTTCTGCTGTGAAGTGTTGCAACTGGAACCAAGACACTTTTGTATACGTTTCTACGTTGATTTGTTAAACATGTACGCCAGAAAAAGTGGTCGATGATTAGTAAAGTTACCTTCGAATAAGTGATAACTTCCTTCTTTTATAATGTATCACATATTTCAGCTGAATATCCTTAAATACGTATTCAGCATACTCATTTATCAGAGTTTAATCCTAAAGATAGATTTATAATTATAGAAGCAGAATCTGTACTTGTAAAGTCTCAATGATATTTAATATCATGCAGCATTGAACGGATCTCTCTATCATAAATAAATAAACAATTATTTAAAGAATCTCGTTTCTAGACAATAATCTAATTACAACTATAATAAGTACAAACTGAAAATATACACCTTAGACAAGATTAACCTAACAGATGTATAAAAGCTGATGTATACTTACATTGCCAACATCCACTGTTTTATTTCAGCATTGCTGAAATACCAAAAAGACACTCTAAAATTTAGTCGTGTGTTAATAATACACTTAAGCAAGTGATAGGGTTTGTTTACGGTTACATTTTCCGTCTGCTAGTGTGAAAAAATGATAGTTATTCACTAGTAATGATAATAATAATAATAATAGTAATAATAACTTCATTTATTGCATTTTATAGGACTAAAGTACATGTATCGTGAATTTCAATCTTCAAGATTATGACATATACCATGCTTTGTCACCTAAATTACATTTAACTACGGAAAAGATGAAGTATGACACGTATATGTTTATGAAGTAAGCATCCATTATGACTGTTAGTATGTAGCATTGTCTCTCTTCAACCTGTCAGCAATCTAATCATACAAACAATGAAAAGATGCACTCTTGTATAGCAATTTTATATAAAATACTACATGATAAAAATAATTCCGTAATCAATCATAAAACGACTAACCTGTGTATCATCTACAGACGGTGTTCTGCTTGGATGATTCGACTCTTGCAAGCGTTTCTCCTCACGATGATTATAACGAATTTCTACATCCGATGCTTCAAATCTATTGATAACAGTTTGTACAGAATGACTTGAATCACGGTGATGCAGTACGGTATTAACATCATCTTCTTCTTCTTTAGTAGTAGACTGAACACCGCCAATCCCATCATCACCAGTGTGAAATACATCTTTTGAGTGTCTACGCAATTCGCTGATATTTACGTCATCAATATACGCTACTTCGATTGATTCTGAATGATACACTTTACAATGCAACGATTCGATGGAACCTTCAGAGAATTCAGGTTTACTCTGATGCAATTCATAATTCCGTGTATCTGATGTACTGTCGTGATCGTTGTATCTGTGAATATGATTATCTCTCGAAGAATTTAGGTGAAAAGATGATTGTGGTTCTGGATTTATGTGAAATGAGTCATTATCCTCCTATTGTTTAAAAAGATATGAGTATTACAAAAACTCACCTCTACGTAGATTGGAATCAAGTTGAAGTCTTCATTCACATATCGATAGTTAGCAATATCATCATAGGCTACTAAAAGTTCCTATAATGATATAGTAGAAACACATGAGTCATTCAGAGACAGAAGTCGATGAAGAACTTCATCAATCACAAAGAAAAAAGAAATTTCCGTATAATGATCCAAACGAAGAAACAATGAAACAAAACAAGCAATACGAAAAACTCAACAAAATAGGTTATAAAGATTTCGTTGTTTCTGGGTTGAGCTCTAGACTTCCTACTACAGTTTCAGATCCTAAATGAACTCCACTTATGGAAATTCATGTAGTCAGAGGGTATCAGTAGCTCTTAGATATAAGAGATAGCCTATAATGATGGATAGTGGCTAGCAGTAGAATCCAAGATGAGCATCTCGTTCTATTTAGGACTCGTCAGCTGGATATACCTGCTTCCCAGTGAGTGATGTTGTTCCCACTGGGATTCAGACTCGGGAGCGACCGCTTCAAACGCCAAAGCGTTATTCACTACATCACCGAGCCACCATAGCCACTTCTTATGCGACGTTTATAGTTTTTAGTATATGATTGTTTTTGTATCATACCAACGTTGATTGGACCGAATTGATCGGTCTCTATTGCCATATGGGATCCTATCATCGATTGGACAGAATAGGGACCGATCAATTCGGTCCAATCAACGATAGTATAATACAAGCAATTATATTAAATAGCTCAAAGTTTGATATACGAACCTGTTATGTTATTTACACGTCAGGCTTAATCTTCTTTCACTTTGGAGATACTATCAGTAGTATAATTATACAGTAATATATGATGGAATGTAGTACCCTTTTCAACTTAATCAGTTTGTGATACGGGTTTAAACTCGAATTTTTAGGAACTGTAAATACAATCACCCCACACCCTGTGATACATTTAAACATTATCATCCAAAGGAATAACCTCGCCTGGTTAACTAGTTCATTGGTTACTAGACAGTCCTAAACCAGGATAAAGGGGGAAACCTTCGGCATACGACTAGCAACCCTACCCAGGGAAAACCAATCCACTCGCTCAAAAAACTTCAAAGCACAAACTAAATATAAAACATAAGAACAAAATTATTCTCGTTGGAACCAGAGAGGCGAAATGACACCGGTTGATGAAAGCCTTCGAGAAGCCAATCGGTCGATGTCTCGTCACCTATCTCGAACTTAGCAAAAGTAAATAAAGGATCATGGAATACCGCACTATGTTTGAACCTACCAAGGCTGCCCAGATTGCAACCGAGATCAGAAGCTATAGTATTGAAGTGCAAGGCTGCGAATCTGCGAAAGCAGGTGGAATGGAAGTGAACTCTACAAACTGTCAACTACAGAGTCAATAATCTACTCCGATATCGTCACTCACACGACACAACAACCACGACCACAATGACTTTCCGAGTGGCTATCATCACATCCCCAACAGCATCAAAGGCTCTCATGCAGTGGCAACTAATCTCCTCCTCCTCCTCCTCCTCCTCAACGATCAGGATCATGACAGCAAGATTCAACTCAAAAGGAACGAAAGTCACAATCATTCAATGCTACGCTACGCACATACAAATAATGCAAATCAAGAGAAGAAGCAGCAATTCTACAGACAACTGCAATCAACACTAGAAAAGACCCCAACCCAGTTGGCGACATCACAATTCTAATGGGTGGGGCGACATCAATGCCAAACTCGGAGCGGACAACACAGCAAGAGAACTAACCATGGGTCGAGAAGCACTCCGTGAAATCAACCACAATCAAGAACTGTTTCCAGAATTCTCCACATTCAACCATTTGGTGATTGGAGGCAGTGTGTACAAACACTAGGATATTTACAAATCGAGCGACATGGATTGGATTTCACCAGACACCACGACACACTAAAATCAATCGACTTCATCTCAATCTCGAGAAAGTGGAGACGCAGCATACTGGGCACAAGGTCAGATCAAGAAGGATAGCAGACGTAGGTTCACATCACTCACTGTCCGGTGCAAGCAACCTGCCTTCAAAAACGTTTGTGATAGACCACAGTTAAAGTTCAACATGCAGAACAGAAACTGAACTGAAGGACGAAACTACAAAGCACATCTTCACCTCAGCCAGTTATCAGGAAAAAATGGGAGATATCGAGCAACATCCATGAAGAAACCTGTGTCGATGAACACTGAAACTATCTGAAAGCTATGTGGAAAGAAACCTGCATTACCGTATTACGAAGGAAGAGGAAAGAAGATAAGCAATAGAACTCCACAGACACATGGAAGCTGATACAGCAGGGAGAGGAGGATGGTGAAGCAGAAGATGAACCAGTGCAGTGCAGTGCAGTGCAAGGATGAACAACGACCATGAGAGGAACTGAGTACAACGTATAAAACACTACACTGGACAAAAAGTGAAGAAGACTACGCACAAGGCCAAAAGACACTTCTAAGACACACCATCAAGTGAAGCACAACAGGCTGCAGGTTAGACAGACAGAGACCTGATAACATTGTATCAAATAACCAGGTTACTATCTGGGAAGGAAGAGATCAACACACATGAAACCAATAAAACATGATGAAGCATATCTAATTAACACAGAAGAAAAACAAAGGAAACGATAGGTAGACGACTTCAAAAAGCTCTCGAATCGACCACCACTACCACCTGCACTTAGTCCACAAATACCACAAGCAGCCCAACAACACAACTATCACTGAACACAAATACCCCAACAAAAGTCGAAGTCCTGAGCGCCATCAAGCTACTGGAATTCGGGAAACCAGCAGCAACAGATGGAATTCCTCCAGAAGCACTCAAAACAGACTCACAATCATCAACGAACATGCTCACACCACTTCTGAAGAAGGTCTGCAAGGAAGGAGTGGAAGGTACCTGCAGATTGACTGGAGGAAGGGATACCTTGTCAAACTCCCAAAGATAAGCGACTTAAATCTTTGCAAGAAATGGTGCGGAATCACGCTCCTCTACACACCAAACAAAATATTAAGTCGCATCATACTCGACAGACTAAAGAATGCACTGGATTCAAAACTATGACCACAACAGGCTCGATTCAGGAACTACAAATCATGCACCGACCAAATTGAAACCTCACACATCATCATTGAACACACTATAAAATGCCACTCAACTCAACTCTACCTCAACTTCATCAACTTTTTGAAAACGCATTCGACAGCATCCAACCACAAGTAATTTGCTAGGCAACTGCTTCAACACTACCACAATACCACAAACCTTTATCTGTCTCATTCAACAACCATATGAAGACACAACATGCCAGCCAAGTAATTCACAATGGGAAGCTCAGTAATGCATATGGAGTGAAAGTGAAGACAGGGGTAAAACAAGGCTGCCTACTATCACACATGGTATTCCTGATTCTGGTCGACTGGATCATGCAGCAGACAACTGTGAGGAGCGAGAACAGGGTGATACGCTGGACCGGGGAAAAGAACCTACAAGATTTCGATTTCACCGATCACCTGTGTCTAATGTCACACAAACTAGAAGACCTACAGCCAAAATCCAACGAGTTGACAGAAGAGGCAGGGCAGCGAACACGGAACTTCCTTCAGTTGAACATAGACAAGACAGAGGTGACGAAGATATTCAACCAACAACATCTCCACCACCAACAACAACAATTCCACCACCACCACCAACAACAACAACAACCTCCAATCACCATCAACGGGAGAAACTTAAAGCAAGTAGTCTCTTTCACCTATCCAGGTACCACTGTTCCAACTACAGGCGACACAGGCACAGATCACGACGTCAAACCAGGATCGGAAAGACAGCAAGACAGGCCTTCATTAACCTGAAACCAGTGTGACAGTCTTCTGCACTCAACATAAAGTGTGAACAACATCCGGATTTTCAACACCAATTCAGTCAAGTCAGTGATCCTATATGGTTTAGAGACTTGGCGCATTACTAAAAACATCTCCAACAAACTACAGATATTCATCAACAACTGCCTACACTGACTCGTCACTGAAGCTCAGATGGCCAGAATAATAAGAATAGGCAACAAGGAACTCTGGTTGACTGGTAACGAACCAACCAAGAACCCATCGCTCAACAAATATGCAGGAGACAGAAGTGGAGATGGATTGAGCATACACTGAGAAGGCCGACTGGGGACATCACACATCAGCCCCTCGAGTGGAACCCAGATGGGAAGAGATGAGTTGGGCGTCCAAGGCGAAGGTGACATGGAGGAGATCGTGTGAGGAAGAAATGAGAGCTTGTGGGCTGTAGTGGAGCCAGATTCAAACGTTTGCAGAAAACAGTGCACTGGAGACGAGCTACTGAAGCTCTATGTTCCATTAGGAACCCAAGCGTCAAATAATAATAATAATCCAAACGAAAAGATGATGAGAAATTCAAATGTAAAAATAAATAAACAAAATAATGAAGGTTAAAGAGTGGTTCAAGTGTTCAAACTGCGATAATTACTTCATATGATGAACTCGATCTCAAAACAGAGATAAAAATCCAGTTGCAAATTTAGGAGTAAATCAAATTCATTAACCTAATAAACGCAAGTTCAAAAAGTAGTTGCTTTGGCTCAGCAGTCCAGTGGATAACGTTCTTAAATTCGAAGCGATGGGTACCAGGCTCAAGTATCAATGGAGACACTATCAATCACTGGGATGCAGGTACATTCAGGTGAAGAGTCCGAAGTAAGTCGAGAGACGCGTCCTTAATCCCACTACAAGACACTACGAAGCGAATTTCAGAACAGTAATATACGAAAAAGTCTAGTTTTCATACCGCGGATATTGATAGAGTGGCGAGCCAAGTCATAAATATACCTAAGCAGTAAAAGCAGTGCAGCTTAAAATGGTGGAGAATATTTGTAGCTCAGGTGAATGGTCTTGGTGGCATTGTGTTCTATGAGCTGGCTTGTTTAATCATGAAGCCTTCATCGTCTTTCTAGACAAGATCGTAAGCACTTACTTCACTGTGAAGTGAGTTATCAATCTCTCACTCATGGAGAGATAATGACAACTCATTTCATAGTGACGTTAGTGCTGATGATGTCATCTGGAGAGACGATGAAGGCTCCACGATTAAACAAGCCAGCCGGGAGAACACAATATAACCAAGAGCAGTACAAGATATTTTATGGAGTATCAATGCATATGACGGCTTATAACACAGAACTATCAAGAAAACGTATTTCAAAACCTATGTTTGATCATGATTTATTTCTCTCAGAAGACTAGACAGATACAGAAATGATCAATTAAGAAAAACCAATTGAGTTATAAAAAAACATTTTATGTGAAGAGTCACTATGTTAATCGATAACTTTATACATTGAGGTATATTCGTTCAATTACATTATTCACCCTAGAAATATACTTTTTTTCTATCCTGACTGATCTTCTTTTCATCATCGATTTTCAAGTAGTTTGCAATTTTTTCGCGATTTACTTGACAATTAAACCGGCATCTTAATATTTTATGAGATATTTCTTTTTGTCCTCGAGTGAATACAATATTTATATGGTACTGTACAGCTTCAGGGAAAATATCCCTTGACAGTGTGATTCTTCACAGAGTTCGAGAAATATGTCAGTTGGTTGAATCTGAAGTGTGACTGTCAGTCAAAAGACTTAGAAATTTTAAGGAAAACAAAGAAGGAAAACTTCACAAAATTGTTGGACCAATTACTGTACAACACAGTAATGATTAACAGCTGAAAGTAAATAAAAACATTCGAAGTAGCTCTCAGTACTTCGCAGTCCAATTCAAACAGATATTGGTTTTTAAATTTAAGATTATGTTTGAAAATTTATGATAGAAACCGGTGGTCAAGGCCCAAGTAGGTGGAGTGAGACTTGGACATCTGAGTAACTATTTCAAAGTCAAGTGCCTAGGTCAGTCAAAAAGTCCCATTTTCACTACTGTCTTGCCTAAGTCATAATTTTGGACGTAAATCCTATAAAACGGTGACGTGTATAAGGATAACCGTCTAGGCAGTATTCACAGTTGAATCTCATTTCCATTCTCGTTGATTTATTTGATTTAACACACAGTAGAACACTGGACTACATTTCGGGCGAAATTTATTGCCTATAGTCATATCAAGGTAACTGCACAACTTCAAGACATTCTTTATTTAGTCTTAATCGCCTTGCCACTTTTGTGATACGGGTAGTAAGATTTCCCATATATCGGAAACAGATACTGAGTCATTCCTGTTACATGTGTTAGGGGTTGATTTGATAAACAAAGATTCAGTTATCAATCTCTCTTTCATCCTGTTATGTTAGTTTCAAGGATTTTCACCCTCTCCCATCCTATTGTGTGCTGGTGTGTAATCTCATGCATAGCTATGGCTGAGGTTTTTTCTAAATCCCTTACCTTACTAGGATCTACCAATTTTCACCTAGCTAGATTGTTGTGTTCGGATAGCCCAATTGACCCTGGTCGACCACTTTGACCTATGTATTTGACCTCGTAATCGTTGCAAGGAACTTGGTAAACTAAGTTGTGCTGCTTAATTGGATCAATAGGATCTTGTAACCTGCAAAGCTTATTCCGAAGTGAGTTTGTAGGTTCGAATCCCACTCCAAACCCAGTCTTGTTAAGAATCCTACGTAATGCTTATGACATGCCTCCTTTGAACGGTAATACTGTAGAGATTTTGAATTTTCCTACTCCTGCCACTCCTACTATTCACACTATTATCACCATTATTGTTACTATTATTATTGCTGTTGTTACCACTGTTATCACTACTATTAATAACTGTGTTACTGATATTTTTCTAACGATTAATTTGAGAGGGTAATTGTTGATTAGTGAAATGTCTTCAATGTATCTGTTTTCTTATCTTACATCTTCTGTATTACTAGTAGGCTTTTTAGCCCTGTTACATAAAGACTTTACTAAGCCAACGTTAACCGACATAGGGTGAGAAGATTTGAAGTCTAAGTAACGATTCGAGTATAAAGGTTTTCTATCAAAACTAGTGTCTAAACTCCCATCTTGTTTCCGTTTTATTCTCCAATCCAACATCACTAATTCCTCTTCACTACTTTCTAATTCATAGGTGAATTGGATTGCATTGACTACGGAATTTTTATGTGTGAAGAAATTATGTATGTGCTCCGATTTCAACACTGTTAACGTGTCGTCTACATATCCAAACCTTATTTTTAGAGCCAGATAAAATGAATCTGCAGCCATCCGTTCCCAACTATCTATAAATATATCAGCCACAATAGGGGATATTGGTGATCCCATGGCAACTGCTTGCCTTTGTTTGTATATTTTATTCTGAAACGTAAATATTGTGGAGGTTAGGCATAGCTGTACTCCTAGTATGATATCATCCACTGGTACCTTGGTTCGTAGTGTAAGCTCATAGTCATTATTGAGCTCGTTTCTAACTGCTTCCAGAGTCATGTCATGGTACGGTTAGATTACCTAAGGGACAGTAACAACAATTAAAAATTGATTTAAACAGTTAAAATCTGTTTAAAATGCGTCCGTTTACAAATAAACAACAAAGTGACAGTTGGAGCTTAAATAAAATTCAATGTAATCGCAGGATTCGAAACACCAACTCTTCAATTTTATTTTCGGCTATCAATCAACTGAGTTATGAAATCGAGCTCTTAATCACATCTTAAGTCCAACTTCAATTACCGAGGTTTTCACGAGCTGTCATGCGAAAATGTTTGTTGAGTATCAAACTTACTCTAATGTGAATATCAGCGAGAAGATCGTAAAGTTCATGAGCTTCTGGTTCATCTTTTTCTCTCGTACGCATAACAAACTCTTCTAATTCTGACCACAACTCTGATAAAGCTTGTAGACTATCCCTTAATGACCTGTTAGTGGGTCGCAATTTTTCTATGATTGGTTTGGAGTTGGAATCAGCAAGAGAATCAATTAACTAGATGAAAACAAAGAGAAAAATTAACATAGAAACAAAAGAGGAGTAGGGAGAAATGGTTAGAAATGATAAGTAAATACAAAGATATTCAAGTAATTGGCTACGAAAAGTAAGAAATGACAGTTACATACAATAAACAAACACATTTTTGTCCACATTCAACTTCCACAGTGACCACCGCAGATTACATCTACTTTTACTTTAAGAGGAATACACATTAATGTCTCTGATAACGGCTAAAATATTTACAAGGCTATGATTGACAAGATCGTGTATGCATTAATTATTGTCAGAATATGGAAGTTCGAAAAAGAAAGCTGATAAAATGAATGAAGAAAAAGGGTGAATTTTTACACCTTTTTAATATAGTCCTCCCGATATATGCTTTTTCAGACAGATAGCTTTTCAAGCACATAGATTCCCTGATAAATTTCGAAAAAAAGAAGATTGAAAACTGCAGAATAAAATGATATTTCATTTGACGAACACTCCTCAGCTGCAAACAGTCTGCAAGTGTAGTGGTTATTAGGAAATACGATATTTTAGTCCTGTCAGCTATAAGTGTAGTCTAGTCAAAATACTTTACAAAAGGGGTAGGAAGTTATGTTCTGAGGATGAGTAAGAGGAAGAACTGAACTTCACTGGATAATGAATGTCCTGAGAAATTGATTATGAAGTATGGAAAAGAACAGATGGAGAGAAATAAACACCCAGCTGTGGAAAAAAAGATTTTTATACACCTTACATTCAAGGGATATGCAGTATCCAAGAGAACAGAAACAAAAATCAACGGAGCACTAGGAGGGAGCTTTCGCGCAGCTAAAGTTGAACCAGTATACAACAGCAAATGCTTGCTGAAATAATCAAAATTGGATAAATACCCTAATTGTGCCGCCACCAACTGTATTTGTAAGTACACATACACTTGCAGTAGAAATTACATAGAAGGGACTCCATTCCGTTCGCTGAGCATATCTCCAAAAATCTGTGTTTGACAGGAAGTAAAATCCTAACGAGTGTGATTGCCCTACACTTCGTAGACATAGGAGTTCAGGTTAAAACTTCGAGTATTTTTAAAATAATGAAGATGCAGAAAATATCTGGATTAGTGTATTTCATGAAAGTGATTGCAATAAAAAGCAATGCACCTGACCTCAACATACAGAAGGAGAGTATAGTTAGTCCTAACTCGCTCGGTGACTGATTTAATCCTTGTTTATTGATTAGTTTCTCTTTCTTCTTTTTTTATACCTCTGCACAACTGAATCTTTAACATATACGCATTTTCAATGACTGTGCTGTACAGTGTAAAATTACTAGTTTCCTGATTTTGAGATATCTAATTTCTCAACTATTAGTGTACTTATAGACTGTGTGCAGCTTAAGAGTAGTCGTGGAATAAAATTGTATCATTTTGTTCTCCAATTATCGTCCTTCATGGTTTGTCCATATAGGTTTTCACCACAACTCTTGACTTTAAGCAACTGTGTTGATGATGTGAATGATCACCCATTTATTATTAGATGGTGTATTTTCTTCTTTTCTCTCATCTTCGTGATCAATGATGCTCATATCTTGAGAATTCTCTTTCGGTTATTCCTTGTTTTCGAAAAAAAACAATTATTGTTCATTCATGAGATTTACGACTCACCAAAAGTAAAGGTGTATAATTATTGTCTTGTTCGCTAAAACACACTTTCTATGAGAAGGATACTAGTATCAGTAGAAATAACAAAAGCAGCAGTAGCAAAAACAGTCAAAAAATAAAGTAGCAATGGGACAACAATTATACTAATAATTGAACTGCAAAAATTATACTAATTTTCAAAAGTCTTTTTAACTCACCAGCCATAGTGATGTAGATGTACAAGTTTTGAAGCACTATTACTGTACGGTTTTAATAAAAAAAATACCAGTTCACGATGAATATCAATCTAAAATTAATAAATAAATCTCCACAAACCTCCGAATCGAATTCATCGTTACACACATAAGGTCTCAACAATTTACAGCGGTATATTTAGCTTCTCTTTTTTAAGCTTAATACATCAACCGTAGTATACCTAATTCACTAAACTTGTTCACTGATTGGTCGAAGGAGAAAGAAATGACTACGTCCAGCTTTATCATTGAGTACCTAATGAACCTGAAACATGCAGCCACCCTTAAAATATCACTCTAAGTATGCTACAATGTTGAATTAGTTCGTCCCAAAAACGTGAGGATAAAGTAGCTATCTTCGCAACTCTATAAAAATTGAGGCTTGAGAACAAGTTCGTGCGGAACATTGTATCCACTTTTACGAAACATTGACGAACACAAAACGAAAGAATACAGAAGTTAAATTGTCAAGAAGATAACAGTTTCTACGTTTTTTCTATGAATAAATGGAGACATATGGCTCCAAATAATAACTTGAAGTAAAACATTTAGAACACAAAAAGAAATAGCAGTCATAAAGCTTACAGTTAAGCACTGACGAAACGATGAACTTTGCAAAAAATTACGTAAGAATAATAAATCTTCAAGAGTATTTGTAGCATGCTCTCCATTAGCATCGATTTCAAGATGTTTTTTCACAAAGTTTGGGTCATCTAAACAACGACTAATTAGTGATAGTGCATCTGAAAGCGAAGAAAATGAAAAATGAGATCAAATTGAACACTGAATATCTTTCTGAAAATAGATACATTATAGGTGTTGATCCCTAATTGAAAAACGTCTCAATTGACAGCAGAACTTTGAACGCAAAAGAGTAAGTACCACTTCTATACTGAGCTTTCACGAAAATGCGAAGGAATGAAAATGTCACAGTACAGTTAGTTGGTGGGTGCGCAAATGCGACCGATTGTCAGCCATATCACCGAAGTCCTCAACTACTGATTCTTTGCATCTAAAAAAACCCGAACAGGGCAGTTTACATCTCACCATACGGATCAGGCCAAGAGTGAGAGACTTCATAGACTGGTGTCACTTTTTGGTCTGGTCACTCTAAACCTCTTTTTCAACCTAATCGAACTTCACCTAAAATGACGAGTCGAGGCAGCCAGTGTACCGGCACGCACAATACATATCCGAACCATCTCTGCCGATGGAAGTTCACAACCTCACGAAACGCATTTCCCGTCTTGGCCATAGCTCAACATTGCTCATATGGTAATCCAACCACACGCGAGCAATGCCATGAAGACATCTGTGATCAAAACCCTGTTATCATTTCATATCTTCCACTTTAAACGGCCATGTCTCACAGCCACACAACAGGACATAATACATACTCGGATATCACGCCAATCAGTGCCACAGATGACGAAAGTTGATGAATTCCAAATAATCATTTTATTATTTGTCCCCTGGGTTCCTAGTGGAACATACAGCTTCCGAAGTATCTCGCCATTTCACTCTCTTCTCTCCAGTCTTCTCAACCTGGCTCCACCATTGCCTACAAGCTTTCATTTCTTCCTCACACAATCTCCTATATGTCACCCTCACCTCGGACGCCCAACTTGTCGTTTTCCATTTCGCTTCCACTCGAGGACCCGAACTGGCACGTAATCATCTCAAATGGTTTTCTCAGTGTATGTCAAGTACCATCCATCTCCACTTTCTTCCGCATATTGGTTGGGCGTTACGTTCTTGCTTCGTTGGTTCGTTGCTAGACAGAGTGAGTTCCTTGTTGCTTATTCTTTCTGGCCATCTATCTGATCTTCAGTATCGATCCAGCGTAGGCGGCAGCTGCTGATATATGTCTACCGTTTGTTGGACATGCTTTCCGTGACGCAACAAGTTTCTGAACCATATAGAAGAACTGACTTGGCTGACATTAGTGTTGAAAATCCGGATGTTGTTCACGCTTTATGCTGGGTGAAGTAGATCTCCACACTGATTTCAGATTAGTGAAGGCCTGTCTTGCTTTTCTGATCCCGGTTTTGGCATTGTCGTCGGTGCCTGTGCTGCCTGTATTTGAAACGATGCTGCCCAGGTAGGTAGGTGAAAGAGATTACTTCTTTTAGGATCCACCCGTTGGTGGTGATTGGCGCTTGTTGTTGGTGGTGGTTGGGTATCTGCATCAGCTCTGTCTTCTCTACGTTCACCTGAAGTCCCGAATTCGCTACCTCGCCTCTTTTGTCAACTTGTTAGTTTTCGCCTGTAGATCTTCGAGTTTGTGCGACAAGACATTAGACATTAATCATCATCATCGGCGGCGAAATCCAAATCTTCTTGTGGGGTCTTTTCAGAGGTCAGACAGCCTATGCCCCTCTTCTCGCTCCTCACGGTTTGCAGGAAGATCCCGTCCACCACAATCAGGAAGGTCATGGATAATAGTAGGTATTCTTGTCTTACTCCTGTCCTCACTTCAAAGGCAACACTGAGCTTTCTACTGTGAATAACTTGGCATGTAACATCATATAGCATATTGTTGCTGAATTAGGTTGACAAAGGTTTGAGGTATTCCGTAGTGTTGAAGCAGCTGTCAAATTGACGTTATCGAAGGCATTTTGAAAGTCAATGAAGTTGAGGTATAGATACTGTCGTTCTACGCTCTGTTCTATGATGATGCGTAGAGTAGAGTAGCGTTGCAATCGGATTAATTGCAGTTAGAAATAGTTTAATAAATTCTGCTCAAAAAGGTTGATCTCACTGGTAAAAATATTATAACAATAGTAGTCGACTTAAGCTCGATTTTTGATATAAAAGAATTCCTATTATAAGCAAATATGCAAAGAATTTACCTATTTCAAATAACTTAGGTTAATCTTCCTACAGGTCTAGTTGACAAAATGAAATCTCAAAATATTTTTGTCAACATAAAAATGAGTTCGAGTGTAGTAAGAGTGATGAAACTGGAGGATAATAAAGGCTGTACGATGAAAGATAAGGTTAAGAATGTCTACAATTTTATCGTCCTATTTCTCATACTTGATATTTATATCTAAAAAATACCAGTGGCAACACAGTTTTGTTTGGTAATTTTCGCAACTATAGACTGTTTCCCAAATGGGAAAAAAGGATACAATAGAAATATGATGGAACATGAAGGGGTTTTGAATTGACATGAGAAGTGATAAACGCTGAGTTATTACGAAATCTCACATGATTTCATTGATGGAAAAATCCAAAAACTCACGTAAAAGAAGGTATAAACGAAAGGTGTTTCAAGGATCAAGTGATAAGAACGTTTATACAGCCTTATTGTATGATTCTTTCACTACTATTGATGCACTACAGGTAACTTCTGGACAATATCCAACTGTTGAATAGGAACAACAGAACCGTGTAAGATGTATAATGTTCAACACTGGGAAAAGAATGCTGAAACTCGACATAAACAGCAAAACACTTAGAGGAATGTCAGCTATGGCGCACATTCAATGCATTAGAGAAGAAGAGCGACCAATTGTGTGAAAATTTTATGATACAACTTTCTTGCTCATAAGCAGAGTAACGCTACAGACGCAAAACACATCAGTTCGTTATAATCATAGGCAGAAAATATGCACTATACATCTTGGATTTGACAAAGAATAATAACATTGAGCTAGAAACCTACATCTACGGTGAAGACTATTGAAAAATTCCGAGCAAAGCTACGGTTCAACTGTATTTTTGTGACATATCTTGTTTCAGAACACCTGCTGAGGATCAACATTTGAGTCATCAGATCCCATAGTGACTAGCTGTTCAAGCGTGAGACGAAAATAAGGGATGATAAGACATAAAATTTAAATTTCAGGAATGTAAGCAGAACACTTCCGTATAAATACTCAAAAAAGGTGACTCTCGACTTGTTGGGACATTCTAGAAACGCCACAATCATTGAAGAACTGTGCAGAACTATGCAACCAGATACTTAAAGATGTTGTTAAAGATGGCATCTAAAGTCTCTGGTAGACCTTGATAAGCTTTGAATGCTTATGGTAATTCTCAGTTCCTTAAAGAAACAAATAAGATAGGTTTGCATATATCACTGTCACAGTCAAGAAAACTTAAGAATAGGAATTTGTTTTCTTAGTCTCCTGCCTTACTTAAACGATGTTCAATCAGTAGGTAGAAAGATCAAAACTCTATCCGTGTACATCGTTCTACACAACCGGGCAGTAAAATAAACCTTAACACAGCAAACATGGTTTATAGCTTACAACATAAGCTTGTACTGAGTAGATGGGTTACATAATATGTTGAAATAATTATGTAGCCGGATTGTAAGTTGCATATTAACTGTTAACTGGTATTCTATAAAATTTAAGCATTTGTCAGGAGTATTTCGTTTTCCTAGTAAATGAAAACAGCAACAAAAACCGAAACCAAAAAAGGAAGAAAATAGTGTTCATGTTATCTAAAATGATAATGCGAAATCCGCAGTGACATCAAGTAATCGTCACAGTCACAGTAATGTACAAACCTCCGCTTTTACACTATGTTACAGTTAAAAATGGTAGTTAAGATCTCTTCAGATAACTGAAAGACATCTACATAAACCGGTGTAGTACCAACCATTTTCGAATACAAAGGGATACCAAATTATTTCTAAAGTATTCTGGAACTTGGAAGTAAACAAGATTTAGAAGTACTCATAGAATTTTGTACAACAGGGTAAGTATTCTGCAGCTAGAGTTTCAAAATTTAACTGATCTATAGTAAATCGCAGCTAAATAATAAGATAAACGACGCAGCGCTCATGGTGACATCTGTGTATAACAATGACACGTATGTTTTAAGGGTTCATTACTGATCAGGACTGAGAAAAAATTTCATACTACGCGGTAAGTAGGACCGTATTCTAACATAAAATGGTCTTAGTGATAGACAAGATCTAACTGTGTAAGCTGTTACGTAGTTATAAGATATGTAGTCAGTCAACCGAACTCTCCAACAGTAAATAACATTCAAAAATTACTTGGTTGATATATGATGAATGAAATATGATTTATCTACAAACAATCTGCCTAAAATATAAAAATGTCTCGAGATGGATATCCCTAAGTTGTCATGAGAAGCTGTCACCTGTGGGGTCAAACAGTCGAAAGTGAAACGGATACCAAATGAAGATAGTCGCTCTATACAGCAAAACGACAGAAGCAGGAAAATGTGGACCATTGAACCCCAAAGAAATAGCTAAGTGTTTAAAGCGTTCGCCAAGGAACATGAAGGTCTCGAGTTCGATCCCTAGCAGGATCATGGGTGCATACTGCTGAGGAGTCTCATGCTAGAATGAAACAGCTGTTCAGTGCTCCTCTGTTTTAAGTGTTTACCCGACTAATATCAGTCCATGATCAGTATTTGATATATTTTACCTGAAATACAATTTATCTATGAACATTTTGTTTACAACATAATTACAAATGAGCTAAACGTGACATAGTCTCAGACTGATGCATAATTATGGTAATCAGTGAGCCAAGACAACAGCAATTTAGTCACTGCATACTACAAAGATAGAGAAAGAAACGGAGCAACAGACGGTGCATTTTCATATATTTTGTTGTAAAATAGATCCATATATCACGTAAATTAATTTGCACACAATTAGGATCAGAATTTCAAGAAAAGATATGAGAAAAGTAGAGTACGAAGGAAGATGGAAAGAAAAAACAGGCTATGAATTCAGGTAAATAGACAAATA